CACAGATTCACTCCTCGAGGCAAGAAAATTATCCAGTGACTATGCTTTAGTTCCTCTGACAAAATTGATATTATTTCCCTGTCTGTTTTCCCACTTGTTCCTGGCCAATACTGTAATTAAAAGTCCTTGGTCCGGGGATTTAGCTCAGTGGTGCCACAGCCTGCCTTGTAAGCATACGGTCCTAAGTTCGATCCCCAGTACCAAAAAAAAAATCCTTTCTCCAAGGTGCTCAAAGCACTTTAGAGACATGGAGACATGGTCTGATTAATCCTCTTCACATCCCTTGCTGTCTGCAGGCTCCAGGCCTTGCCTGTCCAAGAGCACCAGGAAACATAGCTTGGTGGGTGGTGGCTCTTCAGGGCTGTCGCCACCAGCCTCCCTTTCCCAGAGCCATCCAGGGCAGCTCCTGTATGAATAAGCTGCATGTTCCTTCTTCTGCAGAGTGCTCTGTGGCCCAGTTATGGCTGGAGAGCAGCCTGCAGATGGGGAGAGGCTGGTTCTAGAGATCCTGGCCAGGTCATTCTCCTACAAGGGTTTGTTTCAGCCTTTGATGTTGTTGTTCCATGAACTCCCCCAGGGAGCTTTCTCTGCATCTTTTCTGCTCTTATCTTTTGGGAGGCGGGGCACTGTTTCCGCACTGCTGAATTGCCCCAGTTATGGGTTCCGTCTCCTGATCCAGACAACGTGAAGCCCTCCTTGGCCATTTCTCCCTGGACAATGGCTTTTAGCATTATCCACTGACTGGAGCTGTGGATGTGTTTTCTGTCCTGGTGCCACTTAGGGCCCCACAATGCTGTCTGTCGGTACAAAGTGTAGCACCAAGAGGATTTTGGATAAATCTCATAGGTAGAAGTTTAGTTACTCTTCTCCAAGATACCCTTCATTTTCCCACCTGCTGCCTTTTCTTCACCTGTGTGGTCACCTGAGGTCTCTGAAGTAAGACTTTGGGAAATGCTTCCATCAAAGAGGTGCGGAGCCAGTGCTTCTAATAATCTTTAAGAATACTCCAATTTCGTTATTCATCACACCATTTGAGGGTCATTTACTAATAATGGTCACTTCGATGCACTCAGCATGATCTTTAAAATACTATTGTGCAGAAGAGATGATGGTAAACATTAGATGCAGGCTGCATCATGAAAAGAAGCTCAGACAGGTTCTACATATTTTTCAGCAGCACAGAGGCCAAATTCAGATTGTTTTCCTTACAATATCAAGTTTCCTTCCTCTCTCAGCTGTCACTCTCCATTCTTTTTCCATCACCACCTGCCACTTATTCTGATTATATATGTTCTGTCTTTTTGGTGCCACACTTTGTGCCAGGGCCTAGATACATAAAGATAGATGAGACAATATTCTAACTGAACTCTTCCTAAAAAAAGGTATTTTATATGGAAAGGGTCATGTAAGGGTTAGTGCAGTATTGTGTGACGGAGACTCTAACTAGATGATACCTTCAAGGTCAAAAGAATTCTTCAACCGGAAGGGAACAGCATATGCCAAGATACTAAGACAGGGGCCAAGATGCAGAGTTAGGAACTTGAAGTGTTTCGGTTTGTCAGGAGTGGGTTGGGAAGCAACAGAAGAGAGAGGTGGGAGGCCACAGGGTCCGTGTCTTAAAGCCTTCCGCGTCTTTCTGGGGAGCTTAGACTCTAGGTCATCAAAAGTCACTGAAATTCTGAGTACAGGAAAGACAGATGATCAGAGCTCCTGATTTTATCCGGATCCTTCTGCATTTTCTTTGACCTCATCAAATTGGCAAACATAAAGGAGGATGAATAGGCTTCATATTGGAAAGAGTGCACTGATGTGGAAATTCTCACAAAATGTCAGCAAAAATAAATTGATAAAAGCTCGCTGGAAAGAAATTTGACAATGGGTATTAGGAGCCTTAAAAATACTCATTCTACTTGACTTAGCAGTTCTGCCGCTGCTATATTTATGGAAATGATCTCAAATAAAATAAATGTTCTAGAGCAAAGTTATTATTTGAGTGATTGTTTAATAACGAGCCACTGGAAATAACCTAAAACGTTCATTCATGAGGTAATAATAGTTACGAAAATAATGCGCTCAACTGTTTATAAGGAAGCCATGAAAAATTTAAAATAAAGTGATGTAATAGCAGTTTGCACAGTACTTTGCTGCCCAAGATCTAGTCACATTGGATTTGATGAAAGAGCTTCACTCTCTGCCTGATTCCGATGTTGGAATCTGTGCTCCAGGTTTAACCTCATCTACTCTGGTTTTGGAGTCTGGCTCAGGGGAGATTGAGTTATGTCAGCCAACCCATTCCCAGTGAATCTCAGGAGTTATTCTGGAAAAGCTAGGACAAAGACGTACCTATTTTCTTGTAGGGTCTGGACATGCTTGTGGTAATTTGTTATGCTAACAGCTGAAGCCTAATACAAACAGGAAGGCTGAAGCAGTACTTAACCAGACCCTAAAAAGGGCAAGATTTTATTACAGAGTTAATCAAAATTTGAAAGAATATGATGAGACTTCAGTACTTTGATACACTCAGCACGATCTTTAAAATAGTACTGTGTGGAAGAGAGGATGGTAAACATTAGACTAGATTGCCTGCTTTTTGAAGAAATGTTAGCTCAGCACTTCATTTATGAATTAAAGGAGGTGAACAGGGAAAAGATTACTTATTTGGACAAATTCTCCTCCTACCCCCAAAGTAGTTCTACCATGTAATACATAACATCAGGATGCTGGGCAAAAATTAAACAAGGCCCCAAAGACTCAAAGTTAATCCACCATCAGGCTCCAGAGTACTTTTTGTTAATTAAGTGGAAAAAGTCACTTTCCCTTGAAACCTGCTAAGCTTCAGTGACCAAAGCTCCAGGACTTGCGACATACAAAATGTAGGCAACAACAAGCAGCATGAATTTGCTGATTTGACCTATGTAGCCGTGAGCAAAGTCTCTCAAAGTTACTTCTCCTAATAATGCAGATTGATTTCACAACCTGAGTTACCCTGGTTCATGATAAAGTGATGAACTGACAAACCCAACCTGGTAAGAAGTGAGTAGGCTAGAAGATTTCTTTCCCTTCACTATGGATTTCAACCTATAATTACCTGAGAATATTTCAAGACACATTTGGCCATTTGGAGAAATTAAGGTTTAAGATGACTGGTGGCTTTCGAGGTCAATGCTGTGCTCTGCAAAACACAATAAAAGCTTGTAGGAGGCTGAAGGCTGTATGAGAAAATGAAGTATTGATTGAGAAGTAGATATGATGTTGTGCAATGTAGTCATTAGACTCAATTCGGTGCTGTTAATTTGCAGTCTCGCACTTTGTCAGGAGATTACGCCAGTTAGCCATACAGTATTGAAGTCCGGGGAGCTTTCGCACGCTGGCTCATGATGACTGCCTCCTGCTCACCCAGGGAAGACTACTTTGCCCAATCGATGTGCTTTTATTGAACTCAGGTTTGTGTAATCTCTTAGCTCAAATACGAGATCTTCTAGGAGTCTGTGACCTTTGGTAAAGTCCACTTTCCCCCTCAGTGTGCTCTTCCTATCTGAAATTGAGGAATCTTCAATTTAATCACCCCCAATTTTCAGTTCCCATGAATTATAATGGGACTTTGGAAATGAGGGGAGGAAATTTGTCTTTTTGCTTGTAGCACTTCTGTCTATCCTAAAGCCACTTAGGGCAATGCCACTGCCACTGGAGTTGGAATAGACCAGATCCTTGATGGTGGGAAGAGGGTGGAGGGCACCTGGATCTCAGAACAACAGATGGAAAAAAATTCCCCAGAAAGTGTTAGATTAGGAAAGGGCCTTAGCTACTTAGTGGCCTAGCTGGGAAAGCAATTTGGGTGTCCTCACTCTGAATCTAGTTTATTTCATTGTGAATTTTACCTGCACATTACCCTGGCTGTGGGCAGGGTGAGTATATGAGCCAACAGTCCCTTTAGGAACATTTGCATTTATTTTATTTTTTTCCAGTACCAGGCATTGAACTCAGGACCTTGCACTTGCTCTAATCTGGCCTGAACATTTACATTTATAAACATTCAAGCTTAGGTTAGATAGCTTTCCTCCTCAAATGTCATATGCAGCTAAAGTATAGAAAACCTTGTAGATAGTTTTATAGCTTTTTCTAATAACTATTTTACAGAGGGAAATTTTTATGAGGTGTGATGGAAAAATACAGTGACTACTTCAATTAAAAAATGCTACAGTAAAAGACACATTGTCCTTAATCCCCCTCAAAGTATTTTTTTGCTTCAAACAGTTATTCCTTCATTCTTGCCACTTTATTATTTTTTTCTTTTTCTTGCCCCTTTCTGAAGCAATTCTGGAAGTCATTTTTCCTGAGTGTCATTAGTTGTACTGTCATAACTACCTCAGTGTCCTGAATCCATTCAAAATGTTTGCCTTTTGTGGTCATTTTGACTTGGGGAAGAGTCAGAATTCGCAGGGTGCCAGATCCAGTGATAAGGTGGATGAGGACACAGTGTAATGTTTTTATGAGCCTGCTTCCATCAAATGGCACTAGGCAGAGGCATTCACTGATCACATTCATTTGATGGCATGCTGTATAGACACTCAAAAAAGAGGACTGTAGAACTGATTCAGAAAGTGGCAGGAATGATGGGGCAAGTGTGTTCAAAGTGAGGGGGAGTATATGGAGGGAGATTAATGACAATGTGTCTCTTCCCTTAATCCATTTTTTTTTTTGGTACCGGGATCGAACTTGGGTCCTTGCACTTGCGCAGTAGGCGGCGAAAACACTGAGCCAAATCCCCAGCCCCATAATCCATTTTTAAAATTTAAACATTTCCCATATATTCTGATCACAGTCCTTGTAATTTTCTCCATTTCACTGATGACAGCATTGAGACCTAGAAAAATCCAAGAGGTTTGTCTCTAACAGCACAATTATTTGTACTAGACAGATAAGGCCTTAGTCACTTTCTCATCTCTGGGACAGAATATTTGATACCCAATTTAAAGAAGAGGACGTTTATTTTGACTCACAGTTTAGTCCCCAGTGGGTCAGCTCCAAGCAGAGTGGCATGACAAAGAGGCATCGTGGAGCACAGCTGCTCACATCCTGGTAGCCCTGAAGGAGAGGGAAAGGGAGAGGGAGAGGGAGAGGTAGAGAGAGAGAGAGAGAGAGAGAGAAGGGAGGAACCAGGGGCAGGACTACACTCTCTGGGTCATGCTCCTAGTGACCTGTCCTCAAGGAAGCTCTACCTCCTAGTAGTGCATTCAACTCTAGCAACCCCCACGATCCAATCCCTCCTCAGGTCCCACTTCTGAACACACGAAGCTTTTGGGGACATTCTAGATCTAACCCTTAACAGGCTGCTACTGGAGCCTGGGTCTTCATACTCTTCATTCTGTGCTCTTGCAGCCTCCACGGCCGACTCTCCAATTAGTCTCCCTGTAAAACCGAGGCACATACCACTTCTCTAGCTTCGTTACCTCCTTCCTTCAAGCCATGGGCTCCGGAGAGGGCTCCTGTGTATGTACTCCGTGCTCTGACTTACAGGCCAGGTTTAGAATCAAGGAGAGACTTCCGTGTTATTTCTGACTTCTCTGGGCATGGCAAACACTGTGTTGATCGCTTTCCTCAATCCGTTTCATGACCTCTAACACGAACGTGACAGGTAATACAGGAGTCACTTATCAGTCTCTGAATCTACATTTGATGCTGTTCCCCAGCTGGAACCTGTGACCACATCCAGCCTCCACCATGGGCAGAGCCCCCATACCTCAGGGACTGCCCCTTCTCCAGCCAGCCGCTGTAGCTGTAACTCACTCCTTTTTCCCAAATAAAATCACTCTGGGTGACAAGCACTTTCGATGTTGAGCTTTTTTTTTTTTTTTGAAGCGACTGCAATTTATCTTTTCCAATCAAACTGGGAACAATTTGTGCTTTCTTACCATTCCAGAGCTGCCATAAATTGGGGTAATAGATTTTTCAGCGCCTAGTGAGATAATTGTGTTGGGGAGAAGATTAAAGAGAGTGCTGGGAAATGGGGCCGTGGGGCCTCTCATCCCCCGGTTCCGCGCTGCTTCCCAGGCGACCCAGAAAGCAGGGCTGAAGGAAGCAGCTTTAAGCTCCTTATGCTAAATTAGTTTGGAGGTGCTTGTGGGCAAAGTCTGCCAATGGAACTCTGTTTTGACAGTGGGAATATTTATAATGAAACATAATGAAGTAAAATTTAAGTCCCAAATTGCCCAGACATGGAAGCACTAAAAGTGCAATTCTGGTTACAGTGACATCTCCAATTACTAAAATGCGAAGTAATTCTCTTTAGAAAATGACTTCACTTGGAGGAAATGAATTCTGGCTAAGGGTTATGACACACACACACCAGGGACTTCAAATCCTCTGTCTGGTGTTAATGCTGGTAGCAAACAGGGAAATCAGGCGTCCCTTGTCTGTTTCCTCCTCTAGAAGCAACAACACTTACCAATGAGCTGTGTGCTGGGGCCGACATGACAACCACACAGCAGGAAGCACTGAGTGCAGATGGTGAATCTTTGCAGCAGAAGCAGCAACTAATTGGACACAATTCAAAGCCCCACAACTATCAGCCTTATGTGGGCAACATTCAGGCTTTCCAGAAAGATCCTTGCTGCCATTGATTCTCAAGAGCAAAGAGAATTGCTTACACAAACTGCTGGTTACTTTGATCCTTAGTGAAATAATTCATTTGCCTATTCTTTATTCAGCAAATGTTGATTGAGTATTGACTATGGAGTAGGTGCTGTATCTTGGTCCTGAGGATACAGCAATTGTGAGTATGACTGATGGGCTATTCATTTCCCAATAGCACACTGAAGTAATATATAATCGATTCTTTGGGGAGTGAGGATGGGCTGGGATTGGGGATTGAGCCCAGGGGCTTTACATGGACTTATTTCCCTCCCCAGCCCTTTTATATTTAAAAAGATTTTTTAATGTTTTATTTTGAAATAGGGTCTTCATAAGTTACTAAGTTGCCCGCATTGAACACAAATTTGTGACCCGCCTGCCTCTGCTTGCCAGAGTGCTGGAATTACAAGTGTGCACCACCATGCCTGGTTTACAGTCCATTCTTCTTTGAGGTAGTCATGTTTTATAAGGGGCTGCAAATGCTGAGCTAACCAACACCATACCATTGCTACCAGGAGCCATGCAGGGTTAGGTTCCCGTAAGCCTCTGATCATAACATTTTCACCCACTGACCAATACACACCTTACTGTATTTCTGCTGAAAGACGTTTTATTCAATAGATGCTTTTGATTCATTAGCATTGAACTCATTGCCTCAGGATTGTACTTCAAGCCTGAATAAAGTTTACCTAACACATTTATGTTCTCTGCAAGGCACATCACAGTCTCCTTGTGCTTAGGGACACTAGATAGCACTTCAGTGCTATGTTTGAGGGCCATTTCAGTAGCCAAGTCACCAAGAAGAAGCACAAAAAATGTGGAAGACAGAGCACTGAATAAACTGTGAAAAAGACTCAGCTACCATGAGAGCTAAAACAGGGAGACAGCACCAGCTTGTTCCACTTCAGCTGGAAACATACCTTGGGTATCTGAAGTTTTCACTGCTTCGCACATGTCTGCAAATGAGAGAGGAGTGTGCTATTGAGCTGGTGAGCTTGCAAATATGGAACCTGTGAATAATGGGGATCACCTGTACATACTTGGCTCTTGACTTCTTAACTCTTTGACTTTCCAGCCACTCAACCTTCTCCTGGAAGTTCTCCCACACTCACCCTGGACATATCCTGCACATTGTAAAGGGGTGGGAAGAGTTCTGTTCAGAAGGTACCTGGCATTGGGATGGGTGGATGGAGACAATTTAGGAGATAAAATGCTGACATCAAGTAGTATGAAGGGAATGAGGAAAGTGGACTGTGAGGTGGGATGATTTGCTTTTCAGGGTGATTTATTAAAGTTGAGGTTGATGAGTTAAATTATTAACATTTTGGCCTACGATGCAGTTTGAAACTCAGGGATGTTTTCTCTTGAATGGTTGTGGTAAAACTAGCTCTTTGATTTTAAAAGCACAGGGTTGAAAGAGTTGAAAATAGAAGAGGAAGTTTGGTTCTGAGAAGTTACCAAAATAGGCAACAACAAAAACATAACAGCAAATATGTAATGAGCATCTACTGGATGCTGGGTAACTTAGTAAAAAATGTGAAGTTGCTGCTCTCACTGAGTTTGCACTTCAAGGTCAGCTGAATTCAGGGTCAGTGGGTGTGACTCTAACTGTTACATGTCACCTTGAATGCACTAAGAAACAAACACCTAGGAGATTAGTAAAGCACAGTTTTGAGTGTGTTTGTGGATGATTGACACGTAGGCCATCAAACTGAGGGAATCTGAGTGACACCAACCAATAGGCTTGTAGTCTGGATGGGAATGAAAAGGGAAAGAAAAAGTATTCCTATTTTGGAATAGCTTCAGTCTTTGTCATTGGCTTTGAACACTGGTCTCCATTTTCTTCAGTCTTCTAATGTAGACTTGCACCAGCAACACTGAAGTAAGCTTGTAGGCCTTTGACTTTGGACTGGTACTGCATGCTTGATCCCTCTTGTTCTGCAGCTTCCATGTTCTTGGGATGATGGATTCCGCTGCTACTGGATTCTCTGGCTCTCAGCATACAGAGGGCATTATGGAGTTTTCTCCCTCTGATCTAGCGGGCTCCTCTGTGCTCTCCCAGCCTCCAACACAGCCCTCAGGAGGAACCTACTCTGCTGACAACTTGATTCCAGACCTCCAGCCTCCAGAACCATGAGACAATACATTTCTGTTGTTTGAGCCACCTACTTTGTGGTACTTAGTTATGGCAGCCCTAGGAAATCAATGCTGAGTGGAAGCCTAATAATGGAGCAGGTGGAGGATCACCTTTCTCTATGTCAGGAACCTCCTTTCCAGCAGCTCCAGGGGCTGCTCCATGGGGTAGTGATAAAAATAAAATGTCCTTGGTGGTAGATGTGGGTCTTGACTTGGGCATCGTCCCTGCTAAGTGTCCACTTTATTAACAGCAGGACCAACCATGAGCTCTGAGGTATCCTGGACTGGAAGGCAGGGTGGGGACCGGTGCCTCCAGGTCTTGTTTACTGTATTGTTCCGTTTCCTTCATGGAGTGAGCAACAGCTTTGTCTTCAATGAAATAGATTCTTATTCTGGATTAGTATTTGCTCTGCAACCAAGTTTCTTAAATTCAAATTCTGGCTCCACCACTTATCAATGAAGGGACCTTGGGAAGTTATATCATCTTTTCATGCCTGTGTTTCTCCATTGCAAAATGAGAATAAAAATAGTTTCTAGCTGCATCACTTCCCGGAGGCTACTGTAGTAAATTACCATAATTTAGTGACTTAACACTTGAGGAATTTATTTCTCACATGGTGGAGACCTGAAATCAGAAATGATAGTGTTGTTAGGATCGCACTCCTCCAGAGACTCTAGGGAAGAATTTGCTTTTCCCTTTTCCAGTTTCTCGAGGCTGATGGCATCCCCAGACTCAGGCCCACATCTTTTCAGTCTCTGCCTTCTCTTCTTGGTGAGTTAAATCTCACTCTGTCTTATAAAGATTTTGTGATTGCATTTAGGATAACACACAACAATCTCAGCCAAGATCCTTAATTTAATCACATTTACAAAGAGGCTATTTCCCGTTAAGGTAACATTTACAGGTTCCAGAGATCAAAAATGATATTTTGGGGTGAGATGTTTTGGGAGGCCATTGTTTAGCTACTACATCATCTTATACAATCATTGTGAGAATTAAATTAGTTAATTCTTATAAAGCTTGTAGAATAACATGGCTCCTGGTAAGCAAAAAGATTACCAATAGGGAAGGTATGACAATGATCTGAGATGAACAAAAGGATGACAATAGCTCTGTCACCGTTGAGTGATTTAGTGGGCTTCTCAATATTCTTTCAGCAGTGCCAGTCTTACTTAAGTAAGACAAAGATCACTTCTGGAACATATATTCACCTGCAATAAATAAGCCTGATTTGTACTGACCATATAGGCACTGTGAGCAATGTCACTCCTGTATATACCATAGGGGTGGAAATTTCCTTTACAGGGTATATGGTAAATACACTTCTAGAATTGCAACCAGTGGGTGAC